GTGCTAGAACATTGTGTTCATTGGCGAGCGAGCGCAGCGAGCCATGGTTCACGGCGTGAACCACATAGGATTGCGTAGCAATTCTTGGGGGTTGGCGAGCGTTAGCGAGCAGGGGGCGGAGCCTCCTAGTTTATTTTATTGTTGTACTACCGGAAGGAATAAAATTAAAAAATTAGAGCACATGCTGACGGGACCTTACGGAAAGTTGGTTAACGAGGATTTGGGATCCAAATGATTATCTAATATCAGAGATAAATATCTTACATCGGGCTTTTCAATTCATAGAACCTTAAGTCTATGAAAAATTAAAAAATCTGGACGCAGATATAATTTTCATTCTGGCAGGGTGCATGAACCTTCTGCTGCCCGCATATGTCTCGTGGATGGCGCTCTTTAAAAGTGAAATGTGAAGAGAATAAGTGGTCTTCATCAGGAGCAAACAAAAGAACCTTGCCGGCAATTTAAAAAGGCCAACTCGGCAAGATGTTATTGGTTTTGCATCTGCCGCTTGGGAAGTCCTCTCTGAAGAAACAACTTCAAACTATTGTAAACTTTGTGGTATATCCAATGCATTAAATGGAAGTGAAGATGGGCTTCATTCCCGATTAGCGAATGTCGGATTTATAGACAATGATGTCACTGATGAACTGAATGAAGAGTTTGTTAACCTTATTTTGGATGATGACTCTGATAATTCTTTTGATGGATTTTCAGATTCTGATTAACATAACTAAATAAGTTATCTTTCTTGTTATGAAATATTTCGATGTCTATATTTTTTCACCTATTTGCATGTGCCAGCAATCGCACCGAGATTTAAAAATAAATCGAGAATTTAAAAAATTAAAAATAAATAATTTTGCATGAGCCGCAATCGCACCCAGATTTAAAAATAAAGGATCGCTATAAAGGTAAGTTAGATTTACTAATTAAAGTTCATATTTACTTTTTTTGGCTATGATTATTTTTAGTGTATATTTTGTGATTCATAATGTTCAACCAAATATAGTTGATTTTTTTATAATGATGGTTAGCATTTTTTTCAGTACTGTTTATTTGCACCCTCAACATTGCAGCGATTTTCGTCAAAATTAGAGGAGGGGGCACTTTTAAGGTTGATATACAAAAACAGAATCTTTCTAGTAATTTAAAGAAAAGTAAGAAAAACAGATTTTTTTAAAAATTATTTCATATCGCTTTATTAACGCATTGCAGATATACTGTAAATATTTGAGGCAGCAAATTCTTGTCACATAGTAAAGATTATAATAGCATTAATTTTGTTAATATTTATTAGATGATATTATCAAATAAATAATAAAATTACAAAAAATCTCATTATATTTTGCTTAAAATCTTAACAAAGTAAAAACAAGAAAAAACATAATTACTTCTAACAATACATGATGAGCAGCTCTCAAAAATTCTTCATCAATATCATAATTTGTTGGCAATGTCTTAGGCAAATCATTCAAATGGCCAATCTATAACAATCAAATAATAAAAAGTGTTGTAGAGAATTTTATGTATGCATATTTCCAGTTATATTTAAAAATAAGTTCTGATAAATGAGCAAAAGAAGAAAAAATGCTTAAAATAATTAAACAAATGCAAAATTGTCAAGCCAAAAGAAATGTTTAAAAATTATATTATGTGGTAAAATATTTTGTGACAAATAAACATCAAATTCCAGTAAACTTGAGTTGAAATCAAATTACAGTGCAAAATCTCATATCTGCATGCTTGTTTTCTAGAAATGAGACACTCTTTAACAATAAAAAGAAACAAATTTAATTTTTTTCTCCTCTCCCCCCCTTATTTTCTTTTGCTGTGTTTAGGATAGCTAAACATTTTAACTGCATTGGGTTAAAAAGAGTAGTTGAAGTTGATAGCAGTTTAGAACAAGAACAGTATTAATAAGCTATGCATTTTAAAAAGGCTTAATATTTAGTGAAAGAATACAAAATATTTAATTCCATAATAACAAAACTTTCCTTGTAAAGAACGCGCAAAGCAGCAGTATTTTCAAAAGAAAGAATAATTGAAGCAATAAAGAAAAAACAAAACAATGGAAACAAAAATATGGTCACCGAAGGCGACGCCAGACAAATGTCAAAATGTGCTCCCTCAGTACCCCGAAGGTTTTGCAAAAGTCCAGGAAGAAATACAAGAAATATATAAAATCAAATCAGAAGAGAAATTTCAAACAAGATCTTAAGAATATAATACAAAAATGAAAATACCAAAAACTCACATTAAACTGGTCAAACAGCAATTTCGTGAAACTAACTCAATGTAAAAGAAACATTTGAAATAAAAGAAAACAACGCCCCCTATTAAAATGCGCAGTAGGAAGAAAAAAAGAATAGGAAAGGTAAAGATTGCGTAACAAATTAATATAGTGCTTAACTAGGGCTGCTCAGTCAAGACTTTAATTTCGCCCTGTTAAAAGAAATAACAAACTAATATACCTCAATCATTTTCCTAATCAAAAATTTAACATTACATTAATTATTTCTCAAAAAATTATTCGCAGCCTCCTGAAAACATTCAACGTTATTGCAAATTTTTCTAACTCTAAACAATGAGAAAAAACTAAATTTTTGAAAATTTTATTGCACAAATTAGTATTAAAGTTACAGATTCTCAAGATTTTGTTTGAAATTTCTCTTCTGATTTACTTTTACGTATTTCTTCCTGGACTTTTGCAAAACTTTTGGGGTACTGAGGGAACAAATTTTGACATTTGTCTGGCTCTCTCAATAGAAAAGGTTTTGTTCTTTGGCTTTCGGAGCTTGTACCCCCTGAAGACATCAGCTTCGGTGGCCATATTTTTCTTTCCATTTAAATATGATTTTAACTACATGTGTATCTCCTAATGCAAAAACTTACCACATGCCAATGCAAAACTTACCTTGTGCCATGGGATCTTTATCCCTTGTAATTGGCATTAACATGCCACAAATTTAACAACAAAAAAAATATTATTCTAAGTATTCTTATCAAATAAATAATTATTTCTGTAATAAGAAATAATCCTCTGGCACTAAGTTGAGGAATGCATGCTGCAAATTTAGTTGCAATTAATTGGTTATGTGTGAATTAAATTAAATTAATGAAAACAATGAATTATAATTCATTCAACCCAAGTATAACAATAGAAAATTTTGACTAAGAACACAGGCAATAACAGATACACCAACTAATTAAAATAAATATCAAAACATTCCCAATTTTTTTTTCTAGGTGCATCAGTTTAATTATATTTAATTAGTTACCCTATGAATCACAACATTGGATCTTAAACTCGTGTGAACACGAGTTGTATTATTAAGTTGTAAAAGCACATAAATACAAATGGTGATATTGGGTTTTTAAATCGCATGAATAGGAATAGCAATAAACCATTTTTAAATCATGCAAATACAAATGCTTAATATTAAAATGACATGAATAAGAATCGCGAGATTAGCAGATTCCTGAGCAGTTCCGAATGTTCAAAATGCCGGAAATCCGCCAAGCCAAAAGAGACAAATTGTCAGAAGAATTGCATATATGCCAGATTGTAAGTTTCAGAATTGTGGAAGTCCACGAACAAATGGTCTTGTGCTATGCAGATTTCTACAATATTTGAGGAAAAATTACATGCCCTGTTTATTATGTATTAGACCCAGAAGAATGATACAAAAAATCCTGATTTCCAGGTTACTATCAGAATACAATCAAACCTGGCTAATTAAAATTTCATAAATGAAACCTAATTAATTCATCTAATTTCCTTTATAAGTATAGGCAGATACCTACAAAATAGACAGATAGAGAGCTTACTCTTTTTAGCTTTTGGTCAATAAAATTAGTTACAGCAAACACTTGTTTTTATTTTTTAATCAAATCAAGTCAGTACGAATCATTATGTTTAATTTTTAATTGTGTGAATATTAATCATAATATGTAGCTTTTAAAACATGCAAATCACAATGCGTAACTCATAAATCGCAGAAGTATGAATCGAGATGCTTGATTTTAGAATAGCAAGTATAAGAAATGCGATATTGGATTTTTAAATCAGGATGTGTGATTTATGAGTCATTCACATCACGAGACACGTATTTAACTCAAATCATCTTGAATAGGATTCGCAATTTCAAATCGCATAAATACGAATCATGATGTATAATTATCAAATCACAGGAATATGAATCAATAAGTGTGATTTTTAAAATTATGTGAATATGAATCAAAGTGTTATTTTCAAATAACTTGATTATAAATTGCAATATGCATTTTTTAAATCAAGTGAATATGAATCCCATTGAGATTTTTAAATCGCAAAAATATGAAACATGATGAGTAATTTCAAATCAGGGGGAAATGAATAATATAGTTTCATTTTTAAATTATGCAATAACAAATTGTGATATTTGATTGTTAAATTTCTTGAATACTAGGCTCAATATTCGATTTTAAAAACGCTTGAATACGAATCACAATATTAGATTTTTAAATCATGATGTCATGATTTAAATCATGATTAAGTCATTCGAATCAAGACATTTGGTTTTCAAATCAAGTGATCTTGCATGGCAATGCATAATTTTAAATCACATGAATTTGAATCACGATATTTAATTTTTAAAATGTGTGAATATGAATCATAGATTAAAAACTTAATTTTAATTTCTCATAAATATGAAGGAAAAAAATCATTAGTAGTGCAGAAGTAACCATATTCGTATTGGAAAAAAGAAAAAAAATACTGCCCATAGAAGTAGATAATTCACAAAGGCTCTTTTCTCCTTCAACAGAGGAGTGGAACAAACAAAGACGCACTTTCGCATTACAATGAAATAACTAGCGTGTGCATATATAACTTTTCCTGACAAAATAATGAATTCACTAACTTTTCAAGAAATAGAGAATTAACTAAATTTTCCCAGTTTTTACCAATCAGTTAGATACCCTAGGTTGAATGAAAATCAGCATAACAAGTGAAAAGGCACTAGAATACTGAAAAATCTGAACATTTTGACCAAAAATCAAATTTTCAGAACAAGGCTAAAAATAGGAGCAAATAGGATTTAATCAGAACAGTTGGCTGCTACGAATATATGTGAGCTTAATAATTTTATTATAAAATTTTATGCATTTGACTGCAACAATAAAGTATTCAATATGAGTGATAACTAGGAAAAAGAGAATAAAATGAATGAAAAAAAAATGTTTTGTTTTATAAAATTATGACTAATAATTTTAATTCAACTTTTACATTTTACACAGACAACATATTTATACTTTGTGAACTGTTTTAAGCTACAAATAAATCTAATATATTTTTAGATTCAACCCATTAAATAAATTTTAGTTTCATAATCTTCAATTTGAGCTATTCTATTTTTTACAAAATCTACATGAATTGCAATAACGTAAACAAAAATAAAGTAATTCAATAATAATGCACCTATATTACGAGATATGAAATAAAATTTAATTATGCAATGAAATTTTAAAACAGTTATAGCTAACAATGAACTTCTACCTAATATATAATTTTCTACAAACTATTTTAAATAAAATCTTACACTTTCTGCTGTAGAACATACAACATCCCAATCTAATTTAGGTATAATTCGAGAAATGAAATCACTATTGAATTCCACTTTAGTTTCCTGGATTTCACTAGCCTGAAAGGAAAAGTAAAGACATTATTGTAGTACCAACTCAAAAGTTACTTTGTATATTATACTAATACCTAGTATATTTGCATAAATTTCCTAGAAAAACATAAGACAATATGGCAATTCCACAATTTACAAAAGTCTTATTTGCAGACCTTAAAGAAGAAATTTGAAAATTTCCAACAAATTTTGAGAAAAAAAGTTTTTTTGTCATTTACACTTGTTCCAAGCTTTAGTAATTAAAATAAACTTAAAAATTATCAAAAATTAAAAACTAGGTGATACAGACATAACACAATATGTAACCATCTATAATAGCCAGTTAGTAATTTTTTAGAAAAACTCAAATTCCTAAAAGTTTTAAAGACATTGGAGTAACTAAGACTTATTTTTGCAAAAATTATTATAATTGCTTTAGCTAAAATCTTTGACCTTAAAGTGTGCAATTATGACATAAGTAAATGGTAGAATTGTCCAATAGGAAATAATGAGGGAATTATAACTGGGCAATACATGGAAAAATATGAATGTTATGCTATCCAAACAGATCAGATGCTTCAATTGGAATTTACTTTGAATTATGTGTACAATGTTTCCCTACGCATCGATAATCGGGAAGAAAATTATTTAAATCACGCCGACCCTAGTTAAAATGGCAGTTGAAATCTCTAATTTAAGGTGAAAATATATAATTGAAATAAGCATTACCACAATCACTTTAAAATTCAATTTCTTAAAGTTGCGTTTAAAAACCTACATTTTTTTTAACCACAAGCATTGATATATAGTTGTAAGCCTATATAACAGATACAGCAATTTATATAAATATAACGTTAATGGTAGAAAATATTTTGAAAATTAATTCTTTACAAAGTTTTAATTCAAAAATTTATTAGCATTGTTTTTTTTTCTAGAAAAAAAACAAGACGCATTACGCTGTTAAAGAAAATACATACAACAATTTTCAATGGAAAACCAACATTAACCCGTTTCAAGCATTTAGATGTCATGAAATTATGCGTTAACAGTTTCATTTTGCATAGATTGTAAAAATTATTAATTTAAAAGTGTATAATATTTTATAAAACTAAAAAAATAGGATTTCCAGATAAATCCGCAATGCTGCAAAAAGACGAATCGTTTTGTTTACTACTCGTTTTGTGCTTGTCCCAAGATGCTAAGAATTTTCTGCTTATGTTAGCCCAACTAATTATAAATTGAAACCAAAATATTTTGAATGTCGAGCTTTTGAGTGTAAATTTCTACTAAAAATGATTTACTCTGTCATAAAAATGAATGTAAAGTAGTATTGATAACTTATATTTTTAGTATAAGCCAAATTGTGCCAAAGTGAGTCATATGGATGGAATTCTGTAAGAAATGGCAACATCTTTAAAGGAGAAGGCGAGAGTGATAAGGTTTCATTTTTCATAAAAAAATATTTTCTGTTTGTTTTGTATTTTACGTTTTGATTTGTGATTGTGTCGCATGAGAAGCTAACCCTGAATTATTATGTATTTTCTGATAAATTGATGATTGAATTATTTCATCAAAAATGTGTGAAGACGATGCTGTTATTGCAACAAATGATGAGGCTGCCCTTTGCAAACGATATGCAGTACATACTGGTTACTGGGTAGATCCTCATATTGAACACTTTATCAAAACAACGTCTGATAGAAAGGCTCCTGAAATTAGTCGTGGTTACTATGCCAGGGTGATGGGCATGAAAATTCTACTGGATCAGTTTCTTAAAACAACAAATTACAACTGTCAAGTAATAAATATTGGAGCTGGTTTTGATACATTATATTGGAGACTAAAAGACGAAAATGTGACTGTAAAAAGCTTCATTGAAGTTGATCTCCCTCCTGTTACGTCGAAAAAATGTTATATTATCAGAAACAGGAAGAATCTCTTGAGGATGGTAGCTACTGAAGATGATGATATTCAGTTTTCTAGCTGTGAGCTGCATGCTGGGGAATATCACCTAGTTGGCTCTGATATTAGAAACACAAGCGAGTTAGAAGGCAAACTTCTAAATGGACTTGTGGATACTGCTGTTCCTACTGTGTTTCTTTCTGAATGTGTTCTCGTTTACAATGAAGAATCTCTTACTTCCAACTTTCTCAAATGGGTAGGAGAAAAATTCCGAACTGCACTGTTCATCAACTATGAGCAAGTCAACATGGGTGACAAATTCGGTAATGTTATGATCGAAAACCTGAAGAAACGAGGTTGTAACTTAGCTGGTGTGTCAGCTTGCTCAGACCTAGAGAGCCAACGAAAGCGTTTCATTGACGCTGGCTGGGACGGTGCTAAGTCCTGGGACATGATGGAAGTATATCAGCACCTTCCTCAGCATGATGTGGATCGCATTGAGCATTTGGAATTCTTAGATGAGCAAGAGTTACTTCAACAACTTCTTCAACATTATTGTATTACTGTTGCATTCAAAGGTGAAAGTTTGGAGGATATAGGCTTTAACTAAAGAATTTTTGTGCTTCTTATTGCTTATAAACTTCACCAAGTTTTAAAAACATTAGCTTGTAGTGGAGTCCATTGTGATTATAAATAATGTGTTGCCAAAAAGTGATAAGCTTATATGGGTGGCTTGTAAAATATCATTAAGATCCTTTAATCGCCAAATATGTATGTCATAACACTTTGCTCTGAAAATTGATATATTTTTAATCATGATTTATATTGTGCATATAAATTAGCATCTTTTTTAGGAATCAATGTAAAGGCTTATGCAGGGATACACAACCTATGGTCTGGAGGCCAAAAGTGGCCCCTGAACACTTTATAATACTAGTAAAAATATGAAGAAAAAAATAATAGTTAAACTTTTTTTATTACTTGTTTTTTTCTTTTTTTTTACAGTAAGTTACTGACTCATATCGGTCTTTATTTTAAGTACAATATTGTAACCACCTACTTTGCAAGTTTTGTTTATGGCAATGGCTTATTGTTAACTGTAAAAAATTAATATAAGTTTCATTCTTTTTTTTCTTCTTTTTATTTATCATTCATTTGTTTGCTATTTAATTTTCGAACTATGTTTGGAGTAATTTGAATTAAATATATTTATATAAAATATAATATCCGTATTGCATGAAGGACTTAATTATGTATTTGTTATTCATATTAATATTTTTAACTAAAATTTAAAAACAGCCTAAATTATTGTAAATACAGACTTAAGTTATTGCTGGCCCTCATCGTAATACCTAGTTTTTGTTACCCGCTAACTAAAAAATGGTTGTGCATCCCTGGTCTTAAATTATATTTATGTTACATTTTATTCTTAAAAAAGGTAAAAATAATAATTTTAATGTGGAAAGTATACTACATATGTGTCTTTAAAATCCTCTAATTGTCCAATATGTATATACCATTACAGTTTGCTATGAAAAAGCTTTAAGTTCTAATTCTGTAACATTTTAATCATAAAAAGAGACCTAATTTAAACTTATTATAGAAATTTAGATCTTTTAATTGTCAAATATGTATATCATAACAAATTCCTCATAAAATAGATACATTTTTTTATCATTTAATGTACTATTTTATGCGTAATTTAGTATTTTTGATAAATGAAATGCCTATGTATGTCTTAAATTCTAATTTTCTAACATTTAAAAAGAGAATTAATCTGTACTTTTAATGGGAAAAGAACATTAAGGGAGAACACATTTAAAAAAGTTATGTATTAAAATCTTTAGTTTAATATATTTTAGGTTGCATGTTTACAGGGATCTATTCAGGCCGAATTTACTACGGTTTGGCAGTACCTTCACAAAATCAACTTTAGGAAAAACAGTATTTTCACAAATTCAACTTTAGGAAGAACGGTAGTTTCACAAAATACTTTTTCTTAAAATTTTATTTTTGTATCCCTTAAGAAATGATAAATTCATATTTTTGTGTTGCTTTTTTAATATAATTTTTAATTTTTCACAAATTATGTCTAAATTTTCACAAAATAGGTACCTCTCAGAAAAACCTAGACAGACCCCTGGTTTAATAACATAGCAAAAGATGGTGTGTATGTTTATAATATTGATATTTTTACATATTAGAAGGAGTAAATTTAGTCACATTTAACTGGATGACTTAATTATTGTTAATATTGGAGTTAATGCTTTGCAAATGGCCTCGAATGTTTTCAATACTAAACTACGCCTTTAATAAAAGTTAACAATGCTAAACTACACATATAATAATTATATGTAATTTCTTATGCAATTTCAAACCAACTCGGTTCAGTTTCAAAAATTTCATAGCAAAAAAAAAAAATCTTATTTTAGTCCTTGCCAAATACTTATCATGCATTCCTTATCAAATATATATTATTTATTGAAGATATTTTTAACTTTGTTAAATAGTATTTTGTATTACACGAGAAAATTTAAGAATAGACGTCTTTTTGAAACAAATAAACCAGCTTGATTTTGAATTTAATTTATCATTATTTGTCTTTTTTAATTTGTAATTTTATTACAATATTTTATTTTGAATGATTTCAGAATGCAAACTAAGAATCATACTCATCATGTGCGCTGTGGTCTGTTTATATGATTCAAATTTATTGTTTCTCCCACAGCTCTTTGTTGCTAACAATATCCATAATATAAAAAAATTTGAAGCAATTAAATTTTTTTTCTACTATTGTAAATATGAAATTTTGTATTTAATAACATTTAAAGCCTGATTTTGTTTACTGGGCTAAAATATCACATTTATTATTCACAGATATCTTTTTTTTATGTTGGCCTTAATAATTTTTTAGATCTTTTTCTAAAAATTTAGCTCATATCATATATCTCAAACATGCAGTTGAAAAATTAATATGCGTAAATAAATAGATTTATTATCCATTGTTGACCATGCTTTCGGTGGGTTTAAGCTAGTATGAACAAAGCATTCAAATTAGCAAGCTCATTTAAAAAATTTAAAAACAGCAGGGTAAAATAATAAAATCAAACTTATACAAAATTTGACTCATTGTTATAGACAAAGTAAATTGTCATACTATGCTAAATCAGCATTCCTTTAAAGTCCCTGTTTCTTGTTTTCTAATTTCTGATCATAGACACAGATTGTAAACCTCTTACATATTTTAGTTCTGTTTGATACAGGATGGTTTGAATTTCTTATTTATAGGCAATAAATTTGAAAATAGTAAAACTTTATAACAGTGAAAATCTAACTAAATATTTAAAAAAGCATTAATTATTTTTTTTTTAATATTTTACTGTGCTTTATTACTGTAGTGATTCCATTAAAGGAATTTGAATTTTATAAGTATAAATTTTTTATTTTTTTAAAGCTTTTATGGTTTGGAGTGCATATATCTTGGAAATCAAATTACTCTCTATTTTTTTGTTTAAAACCTATATGTATAATAAGATTTTTTTTTTTTTTTGCTAATGGAGAAATTTAAATATATATGTTTTAAATATGGAATTTTCTTGTAATAAATTTTATTTCTTCATTACTAGATTCAAATTTGTCTTTTAAAATAAGGGAGAGTTATATAAATGAAATCTGATTGAAAAAATTTTATGTCTGTGAAACACCTTCAGTCAGCAAGATTCTATTATATCAAAAGGAAATAAAAATGGTAATTTTATATTTATATATCTTTATGTATACATTTGGTGATTACTAAATTTCTCTCAAAACAGTTTAAGATTGTGCCAAAGTAAATATTTATATTTTGTTTGCATGTGATTTTGCTATCTATAGATTATGGAGTTAAATTCTTGAAATTAGTTATTTAATAATAATTAAATTAAATATTTTCCATTGTAACATATGGATGCTTCTCCATTTCATTTGAACTTCTAAAATTGTTGAAATATCCAGCTAATAAGAAATAGAGCTATTAGATTTGGCATTTTATAATAGTACTCCTAATCAGCTAACAATAAACAAAAGAAAACAATCAATAATATACCTTTACTTTTAAAAAATTTAAGTAACATTACCTACAGATAGTAAAAATATTTTACTGTAAGGTAAGAAAATTATCTGAAGATTTAATATTTAAAATTGCTAAGATCTATTAGAGAAGAAAAATTAGATATTTTTTAATGTTTACAAATAGATGTAATTGAGAGAAAAATAGTGAAATTAATTAAAAATAAAAATATTTTACAAAACTTTTATTTTAAAATTAAAAGTTATTTAAATTATATAATCTTTTGAGGATTAGAGTAAGTCTTTTTCAATTCCTTTTTATAAGTTTTCTAAAATGCATTGTTTTTAGTTTAGTATTTAGTCAGTGTTGCTTAAATTTTTTATATTGTCTGATTCAACAATGGTTGTAACCAAGAAGTGTTTCGTATTATATATATATTGTAATAATTATTTTATTTAACAACTCTTAGCCATTTTAAAATTATTAAAAAAAAAGTATATATTTGTAGTAAAATTGTATGAATATATCACATTGATTAAAAAGGTAAAAACTGCTAAAATTTTAAAATTATTTTACTTATATCTTAAACTGCTGTGCAATAGAAAAATGAATGAATGCAACATAAAACTCAAAATTGAGGTTTTTAAATATTTGACTTTTTTGTATAAGATACACGTTGCAAAAAAATTATCACATTTCTGAAATTCTCTTTTAGCATTAGCAAGGGAAAGAGAATAGTTGCCAAGCTGTTTCTCTCAAAATTAATTGTAAAGCACTTAAATTTATTTTTTTTTCAATTGCATGACAGTGCACCACTAATAAATGAAAATGTTTAAGAACACACTGGAAATGATTTAACGAGATTTATTTTTATTTATTTAAATAAAGTAATGAATTTTTTCTTCTTCATATTAACAAATGTATTTTATTTCTATAGTGAAAATAAGTCATGGTGTTAGTAAAGTGTCATATCATTTTTTAACTGTAAATTTTGTCGTATTTTATTTGTTCGAAATTTGATTTATAAATTTAAATGTTATGGTATTTGTTCCTAGTGACTAATATTTAGCTATTGTCCCTTCCAGAAGACTGTTTCATTTGTCTTTTCAAGACATCATAAGTCAGTCAAAAAGTTCTTAAAAAAAATTACTCGTGTGGCTCTTAAGTATTTGAAATGTTAGCAAAAAATTATTGTTGATATAATTTTAATTCTATTGGTTTGTCTTAACACAATATTTATAGTTTACTGCAAAACCTGCTTTGTGCTTCCTGGCAAAATATAAAAAATTAATAAAAAAAATAGATAATAATTATTCTTTAATATGAAGCATCTATTTTTATTTTATTTTATAAAATTGATTTGCTCTGAGGATTAACCTTCTTCAGATAAACATAGTATCCTTGAATTTCTATCTCCCAAGACAGTTAGATCAAGAAACTTCAAAATTATTTATATATGATAGTCAGTGGAATCGGTTACTACTCTGGCACAGTTTTCCTCAAATCTCTGGCAACATTTTATATTTCTAGCAACCAAGGGACACACCAAAATTGCCTAAATAATTCATTAATTCATTCCTCTCTTTAAATGTAATAATATAGCTTCATATTTTGCTTATTAGCAAAATATACTACCGAAAGATGACCTCAAACAAGAAAATTTAGTGTTTGCCAGAAAATAACTGGTTAAAGTTTTTTCTTTTTGGCATATATTATTCTAAATAACTTGATCAAAGTAGGAGGTTTGATTTTTTTAAATTATTGGTTTTCTATAGAATTGATCTTGCATCCAGAACCTTTGCATCTAAAAATTCATAAAGCATCAATTAAGATTACGTAAAAATGCTTAAAAAGATTGTCCAAAGAGCAAACACATTAAGACAACAGAATTTTTTTTCTCCCCTCATGATTGTACTTCACAATTGTTATATATTCTCTCAGCTAACTACAAAGAAAGATCATACAAAGATGATCATGTCTCTAAGAAATGGAATTTCAAAGGTTTATATTATATTAATGAAGTGTGATGCTGGTTGTAAACCCCAAATTACATGTGATCTAATAACTGTTGATATTCTGAATTATTTAATTCATAAAAATGTCGAATAAATTCCTGTCTTGTACTGTATATTTACCAACTTACCTCTTAAGTAACTAGTGTACCATTTTTGTCTTCTGAGCATTGGTCTCAGCATTCTATAAATTTTAAGCAGTAAAAAAACGATTTTTCTCATTGAAGACATAGTGCATAGTAGAATAATTTCAGAACAATTTTGCCTAGAAGTTCTATACTTGGAGGGTTATTCTGATGTTGCTAGGATTCTCTGAAATGGCCCTTAACTTGACAATATCCACTTGGTTTTTTTATGCGTAGACTACATAGTTTACTAAATGTAAACATAATTCTTCTAAAATAACTTATTAAAAAATTTGTTTAGATTTATAACTTTATATTCAATGTAAAATGAATGCTGTAATAAAACATAATTGCTTTGCATTTTTGTAATATCTTTCTTTTTTAAAAATATTGTGATATTTTTTCCTTTATTTTTGAAATATTAATGACATTTTTTTGTGTACTTGCAAAATTTAAAAAAAAATAGTGAAATTTAAAATGGCCCCCCTCTTTCTACTCCAAAATACTTTGCTATTCTTCGAAAATTGATTATTGATGAATCTTGGATTGTAAAAGATGTATTACCTATAAATTCAAGATTGTACAGTTAGAACTTATATATTTTTTAAAATTAAGCTTTTTGTTAAATTTTTGTTTTATAAAATAATCCTTTTAATATTAAATTATATCATAATATGACTATAAATGAGCCTGGTTTATTTTAATTTAAGAAAGTTTTAATGTGTATAGTTGTAAAAAGTAATAACAATTAGCTAATGTAAAAATCACTAATGAAAGCATTAGGTTTGCATTTCATTAATTAATGAATTTTTCATAAGAAATAAATATTCATAAAATTCTTTATAAGATACTATCATTATATACTGTCTAAACTAATAATTATAAAAAGTTATCCAATGTGTAAATAACATTCTTTAATGTGTATGTTATTATAAATTTAAATAATTAGTTTATGAGCTTAGTCTCATCCATACAATAATTAACTGTTTGAAATCCTGTTTGTAAAATTGGTTTCATCATTTTTAGAAATTTATCCAGTTTAATGTTGTGTTTATTTACTAATTCCAAGATTCTACTAATTTCTTTGGAAATTCGTTAATGATTTTTATCTCTAATACAATTTTGAATTTCATTTTTTTTTGTTGCTTTTTTTATATATATTTTTAATTTTTCAGAATTTGACACTAAAACTATTTTGCTCCATCTATGTATTTGTTCACTTATTGTATTCGATTAAATTTTTTATGTACCTACTTAATTAAAAATGTGACTTTTTATGAAAAATAATGAATTGTTAAATTTGAGATCCAGCCTTGAATCCCCCGTTTAAAATGAATTTTTTAAATTTTCTTTTTTAACTTTTTTTAATTTTTTGTGGCATTCGTAAACAATTCCAATACAAACTACACTGGATTGATTTTTTACCAAAATCATGTTTTTAAGTTTTTTGAAGATATTGTATTACAAAATAAATTAGATTTAAAAATATAAATAAAATATATTACATTTATAAAAAAAAATATTATTTATGAAAAAAAATGCAATTCTATTCTTAAATTAGGTAGATACCATTTACCTTTATCAAAATGTAACAAAAGTTATTTCTTGTGTTAAAATCAGCTTGATCCAAAATAGTTAAACATAATAATTTTGGTGTTTAATAAAAACTATAACTTGAATGAATCTTGACATCTTATTATTATTTTTTTTTTTAAAAAAAGAAAGAAAAAACTAGTTTTAGAAAGTAAATTAGTTTTTGCTCTGGAAATTTTTTTTGGAAAGATTTGAGCCATAAAGCAAAACAACATGAATAGAGCACAAATAAACACCCAAAAATTGGCATACTAAAGTTTTGGTTCAATGAATAAGAATCTTCCTCTGTGGTGGAACATAAATACAGTATGTAAACCCACTCTTGTGTGCTTCGCCACATTAGAACATTCTTGTTTATGAAGCTTTATTATTTCCATTTTTGTGCTTTATTCACGTTTTGCTGCATTCATACGTAGAAAAAGTATAGCCTATTTTCATTTGGGTTTATCTAGTTTTGAAAATAACGATCTCAATTGACTTGTATATCATAGATATTAGGCATTGATGAGGTACATTTATCATTAATATGCTAATAAAACAATAA